TATCACAATCCATAACAAATAAACTGTTTTTACATAAGTTTAAGTGTCAAATTTGAGAGATTAATGCAATTTGCTAAAGCAGAACCTAAGCCTGATGCACCCATTGCACCAATTTAATTGTAACTTTTTAAATATTGAAGAAAAAATATATCATTAAATAGTTAATTAGAAGGAAAAAATGAAGAAAAAATATGAAATAATAAGAAATAAATAATAAAAGCAAAAGTTGAAAATAAGATGATGAGCTAAATTAATAAAGAAAGAATAAAAAAAAGTAAGCACAATAAAAAGAAAAAGAAAAAAGAGCTTTATTGTTTTTAATTAGTTTTTATAATTAAAAATATCACAATCCAAAACAAATAAACTGTTTTTACCCAAGATCAAGTGTCAAATTTGAGAGATTAATGCAATTTGCTAAAGCAGAACCTAAGCCTGATGCACCTTCATCACCAATTTAATTTCCACTTTTTAAATATTGAAGAAAAAATATATCATTAAATAGTTAATTAGAAGGAAAAAATGAAGAAAAAATATGAAATAATAAGAAATAAATAATAAAAGCAAAAGTTGAAAATAAAATGATGAGCTAAATTAACAAAGAAAGAACAAAAAAAAACAAGCACAATAAAAAAAAAGAAAAAAGAGCTTTATTGTTTTTAATTAGTTTTTATAATTAAAATTATCACAATCCAAAACAAATAAAGTGTTTTTACCTAAGGTTAAGTGTCAAATTTGAGAGATTAATGCAATTTGCTAAAGCAGAACCTAAGCCTGATGCATCTTCATCACCCATTTAATTATCACTTTTTAAATATTGAAGGAAAAATATATCATTAAATATTTAATTAGAAGTAAAAAATGAAGAAAAAATATGAAATAATAAGAAATAAATAATAAAAGCAAAAGTTCAAAATAAAATGATGAGCTAAATTAACAAAGAAAGAACAAAAAAAAGCAAGCACAATAAAAAAAAAAGAAAAAAGAGCTTTATTGCTTTTAATTAGTTTTTATAATTAAAATTATCACAATCCAAAACAAATAAACTGTTTTTACTAAATGTAGAGTGTCAAATTTGAGAGATTAATGCAATTTGCTAAAGCAGAACCTAAGCCTGATGCACCCATCGCACCAATTTAATTGTTACTTTTTAAATATTGAAGAAAAAATATATCATTAAATAGTTAATTAAAAGGAAAAAATGAAGAAAAAATATGAAATAATAAGAAATAAATAATAAAAGCTAAAGTTGAAAATAAAATGATTAGCTAAATTAACAAAGAAAGAACAAAAAAAAGCAAGCACAATAAAAAAAAAAAGAAAAAAGAGCTTTATTGCTTTTAATTAGTTTTTATAATTAAAATTATCACAATCCAAAACAAATAAACTGTTTTTACTAAAGGCGGAGTGTCAAATTTGAGAGATTAATGCAATTTGCTAAAGCAGAACCTAAGCCTGATGCACCTTCATCACCAATTTAATTTCCACTTTTTAAATATTTAAGAAAAAATATATCATTAAATAGTTAATTAGAAGGAAAAAATGAAAAAAAAATATGAAATAATAAGAAATAAATAATAAAAGCAAAAGTTGAAAATAAAATGATGAGCTAAATTAACAAAGAAAGAACAAAAAAAAAGCAAGCACAATAAAAAAAAAAGAAAAAAGAGCTTTATTGTTTTTAATTAGTTTTTATAATTAAAATTATCACAATCCAAAACAAATAAACTGTTTTTACTCAAGGTAAAGTGTCAAATTTGAGAGATTAATGCAATTTACTAAAGCAGAACCTAAGCCTGATGCACCTTCATCACCAATTTTAAGTGTCAAATTTGAGAGATTAATGCAATTTGCTAAAGCAGAACCTAAGCCTGATGCATCTTCATCACCCATTTAATTTACTCTTTATTGAAATTTAAATATTTAAAAAATATTAATAATAATAAAATTAATTAATAAAATATACTAGAGATCAATATGGAGAACCTAATGAGATAAAAGTGAAGAGCTTTTAAACTTTTTTTATTGATTTATATAAATTTAAAGGATATTAATAAAAAAATTAATAATTACTTCTTCTAAATTATTATATTTTTTAATCTATTATATCATTTATTTTTTTTCAAAAATATTGAATAGCAATTTATGAAATTTAATTAATTAATAATAAATGGTTAAAAAGAACAAATATAATAATTAATTAATTATCAAATATTAATTTATATATTTGGTTTTATGAAGAGATATCAAAGAAAAATTAATTTAGCATTCGCTATTTAAACTTAATATTTGTATTTAAAACATGTACTTAAAAATATATATAGTAGGAATTAGAGATGGCAGTTATTTATTTAGTCATATATATATAGCAAAATGCCATTCAAAAATATTGATTTAATAATTTATTCGAAATTTTTATTAAATTTCTGATAACCCTCCCCCTTTTTTAAATCCTGATTTAATTGCTCATAAAAATGATGATTTTCTATTCTTTAAAAAATTTTATTATTCCTAAAATAAGATTTTTGTTTCAAATAAATATAAATTTAACATTTTTACTTAAAATAATAAAAAATAAAATTAAAATTAATTTATTTACTTATTGGTTGATAAAATTTTTTATTTTAAGCAGTGAAAATGAATTACTTTAAATTTAAATTAAATTACAGTTTGAGTTTGGAATACATATCAATTTTTTTAATTAATATTTTTTGCTTTTAGACACAAATATTATTAGCTTTTAAGCTAAATAAAGAAATTAATTTGAATCGCTCAAAATTATAGATATGAAAAGTATTTTTTAATTTTATTTCAAAATCATAGGAGATAAAATAAATTACAAATATAATAAATAGGTTTTAGAATATAATAATACAATAAATGTTTTTAATAATAATAAATTAGTTTATGTTTTTATATAATATTTTTAAGTATTTTGGTTATTAATGTTTTAGAGTACTAATAAATGAACGAATAGAGAGAGAGTTCATTTAATTCAGTTGTTTTATTAACAAACCCATGGGTGGTTCATGAGTTAAAGTGAAGTAGCTCTGCAGCTGTCATCTATTACTAGCAATTAAATTATTAGGTCAATAAGAATAACCCAATCATTTTCATAAATATTGAATGCTGTTTAAAATTGCAAGAAGTACTGATAGCCAAACTTCTAAATGTCTTCACAGACTTTAAGTTTTTCATTAAGTGTGGGTAAGTTAGATCCAAAAGGGTATTTTCTGAATAGGATCATGAAAAGGGTGCAGCCTAACCCAAACATATCTCCTTCCTTTTCTCTCAGGTTTCTAAACTGCTTGAATTGGATACTTTAGCAGTTTGTAGGAGATAAAAAAATGGTGTTTCTGGTTGTCCAGTATTTACTGTAGTTTCTACAATTATTATGTTTGTTACCCAAGTAATATGAATACCCAAAATCAGTAAGTTAGAACATCTCATTTTCATTTTCAGTTTTAAAAACGAGGACATTTTCTAACTTAAAGTCGTTATGGGCGAACAATTGTTAATTATGGAGATAGTTTAATGTTAAAATCATAGATTTAAAATAGAGTTTGACTACTGAAATGTCTAACACTCCATTTAGAAGATAAGAGAACGCATCGCATTCAGCTTATGGAAATAAAACAGAACAACCGCCATCATATTTAAAATTAGCACATTATGGCTAAACGATGTTAGGATGAGAAAGTTGAGAAGAGACTTGATATTCGTTGATTAGATTAAAACAGAATTTTGTGCAACACTTAGGTTCATCTTCAGAATGCAGAGATTCTTTAATAACGCAATCAATTGGCTTTCTGAAAATATCAACATGCTTGCACTTAGACAGAATAACATATTATCCTCTCTCAACTACCTCTCCTATATTGAATTTTTTCATCAAATACTTTGAGTGTTAAGCTAATTCTTGCTCTTACTCTATTTCGTTAATCATTTGAAAGTAATTAATTGTTTTTGATTTGATTTTGTTTATTACAAATTTCTTTTTCTTTTTGTTTTTTAAATCCATAAACACTTGATAAATCCTGATTCTATAAAATCCAATAATCTAATCCAAAAGTCACTTTTTCATTAAATAATCTTTAAATTTTCTTATTTTTTGATCAAAAATTTCTGTCTATCTTTCTTATTTTTCTTAAAATTTCATATAGACACCTTATAGATTTTATAAAAATTGCGCAAAAATAAAAGTCTTTTATTTTTAATGCAAAAGGAGCACTTTTTACTTTTTTAAAGACACTTTAAGAGACACACAAATATAATAATTCAAAAATTAGAAGATTTTTAAAAATATTTTTATTTTTACAAATATTACAAAAATAAAAAACTTGTAAAAAAACTTAAAAAAATTTTAAAAGAATTCTTATAAAATATTTATTTTGATTCTAATAATTTATTTCATTTTTCCAGAAACTTCTTTTTTGATATCTAGAATATTGTTTGAGAGTTATTTTTACCAGTATTTTTTACCATCTACGCAAATAAACTTTGCTTGGTTATACATTCATCATCTATAGATTCTGCTAATAAATTAAAAGGAGAGTCAAATTCAGCCAAAACTCCTTCATTCATCACTATAATTTTATCATAATCAGCAATTGTGTTCAATCTATGTGCGATTGTTAATACCGTAGAATCATTAAATTTACTCCTGATTGTTTTCTAAATTAGATTATCTGTCTCCATGTCTACATTTGCTGTCGCTTCATCTAAAACTAAAATTTTATTTTTTTTGAGAAGAGCTCTAGCAAGGCATATTAATTGTTTCTAGCCTACAGAAAAGACGCTTGATGCTATACCTATTCATTACAATGAAAAGAATAATGAAATGATTGTTTTTGAAAAAAAATAGATAAATTCAAATTTATATATTCATTACTCATATCTGTATAGAGACCTTACAAGCAATTATTTTTTACATAATAATCTAATTCTACCATTTTAAGACTCTCCCATATTTAATCATCTCTATATTAATTAAAAGGATCAAGATTTCTCCTAATCGTCCCTTGAAAAACAAAAGGAATTTGCGGAATAATTGAAATTCTTTATCTCAATGTATGAAGTCCTAATTGAGAAGTGTCTATTCCATCTATTTTAATTATTGAACCTTCTTCTGGCTCCGTTAATCTAAATAAGGTCTATTTATAAATATTTAAGTTATCTATGAAATCTTTTGAAATGAATTAAATTACTTGCAAAACTGATGATTTGCCTGCGCCAGTTCTACCAACACATCCAATTTTTTATCCAGGCTGAATTTTAAAACTTAGTCCTTTAAGAACAGGATTGGTCTCTTTACTGTACCTCATAAAAACATTTTAAAATTCAATTTATCCATTTTAAGGCCAATTTTAAAGCTCTTTTTAATATTTAATCCTAACTTCTTCACTCTCTTATAAGGGAGCTTCAGATTCCAATGTAGAAATATTCTTAACTCTTTCGAATGAGGACATTATAGAATCAGTTGTTAGCATTTATCTCAAGCACCATTGAATAGCATCTACAATTAACATGAAATATGTCAAACTTTGAGCCTATTTAGTAGGATCATTGTTTGGTAGAGATAAAATTAAAAAGACTCCTACAGTAGAACATAATATTGCAAAAATTTAAGTAAAACTGCCAAAAAATCTGCTAGCCATCCAAAAAGATTAATTAGCAGTAACACTGTTGTTTGCAAGTATTTGCATTTTTTTTAAAAAAGCATCGTTCTATTGATATACTTTTATTGCAATAGAACCTTATACAGTGGATTAAAAATGCTGAAAGACTGGAGTCTTATGAGAAAGATCTAGCTATCTAGTCTAATTTATTATGTCTTTACAATATAACAAAAAGAAAAACAAAAGAACTAGCTCAAAAAACCCAGGTATTACTGTGTAAGGATTAAATACAATACAAGTAATCATCAAATTGAAGAAATTACAAAATATATCTAAAGAGTCGTTGGAAGCAAAATGTAAATTATTGTCAAGCAAACTTACATCATTTGAAAATTTATTCATCAGATTTCCACTATGAGTTTTATCAAAAAATAAAATTGGAGCTCTAATTAGTGATTTAAACATGCTGTTGTGGAGGTTTTTATTTCCAAGTGAAATGCCTTTACATTAATAATAATAATAATAAAATCTTAATTAGTTAATTTTTCATTTAAATAATTACCTGTTGAAAGAACAACAAACTTTGTTGCATTCAATATCAAATATAAAAACGCAAATCCAATAAGAAATCCGAAAAGATTTCCTTTTGAATCTGAAGAAGTTTGATCAAAAAAGCCAAGACCTCTATTAAATGTGGTAAAAGCGCATTCAGAGAGTATGAATAAAATCAAAGTAATATAGGGGAAGCATTTAAAAGCTTAATTAATTCTTTTTACAAATTCTGTGTAAGTCGATAAACTGATTTTAATTTATTCACTCTAATTCTTTTCCTCATTTCGCTTGATATCTTATTTTAACTTTATTTCTTCATAACCTATTATTTCTTGCCTCATTTCTTTATTTTATATGTCGTCAAGCTATATATACTAATTAATTTCACTTAAGGTTTAAATTTGTTCCACATTATCTTCATCGTTTTTATCCATTTTTTCGAATTTTAGCTATCCAGCTGCCAACTTTTTTAACTCTTCTTGAAGATCTTCAAATTTTCCTAATTTTTATATTGAACCCTCTTCACCCAACATAATAATTTTATCACAATACTTTGTAAAATGAATTTGGTGTGTGACTAAAATGATAGTTTTATCTTTCAACAAACCCAAAATACAATTTTTGACAAGCTCAAAAGCTACTTTAGAATCAACAGCACTGAGGGGATCATCTAAAAGATACAAATCAGCATTTCTATAGATAGCTCTAGCAAAACAAATTCTAGCTTTTTGACCTCCACTTAAATTTACTCCTCTTTCTCCAATAACTGTACTATCGCCATTTTAAAACTATTCTAAGTCAGTTATTAAACAGCAAGATTTTACAACTTAACTATACCATTATTCGTTATACTCTGCTCCAAATAAGATATTTTCTCTTACTGTACTTGAAAAAATATATGGCTCTTATTCAACATAAGCAAAGCTTAATTCTTTTTAATTTTTATTTTGTTTCTTAATCTAAAATATACCTTCAAAATAAGGAATTTCTTCCAAGAAGCATTACAAAAATGAAGTTTTGCCACTTCCTATTTTACCAACTACAGCAACATGATCTCCAAATTTGATAGACAAAGAAATGTTCTTTAAAACAGCTTGCTGTTAATTGCTCTCTATAATTTTACTGATTTCATTTTCTGTTTTTACTGTGTTTTATTCTGATACAATAATCTAATTCAAGTTTTATTTTTCATTATTTGGTAATTGTGGTGTATTCCAGTAAGCATAGAAATTTTAAAACTTTATCAATTCATTTTGCTCTAAAATATTTAAATCATTAAATTCTGCTTGATTGCTCTTAGGTTACTTGAGTGAGTAAATTTCTATGAATCTTTTCAAAAATATTTACAATTCGAAAATGAAACCAAATGCATATCCTGAATACATCATTAAGTTTGTTCTAAGATATGAGAGCATTTCAATAGTAGAGAATATCTTAGCACTATTTAATTCGTAAGAACCCTAGTAATAAATAATCATAAATGTTAAAGCGGCTGATAAAAGTACACTTGAAATAGATATAGATTTATCTATATACTAAAGAACACACGCTCTAATTAGCTCTCTAATCTCCTCGCTTCTTATTTTTTCTATAATCATCTTAATTGCTTCTTCCCATCCATATATTTTAACAATCCTAATTCCTTCTAATATCTCATTGATTAATTTTATTCTTTCGTCACTCTTTTGTATTCTTTTTGATGTATGTCTAGAAGCCATTTTACCAATCCACCTCTGGATAGGAAAAGTTAATATTAAAAATAAAATACTTAGCATTCCTTATTAATTTATAAATAAAACTTTTGATAAAATATTTTTTTAATTTGTTTTAAATTAGTAAATTATAAGAACAAATATTTATCGAGAAATAAGTTTACCTAATGGACCAAGTCTAAAGCTTAAAATGATGCAAGCAACACCTAATGTATAAGGTGAAGCTGCTAATTAAAATAAGTAAATAAATTTTGCCTCAATGATATTAAGATCACTAGAAACTAAATTAATTACTTTACCAAGATTTGCTTTCTTAATTTCATAAGCACTTAAATTATTAATTTTTTTATAAATAGTAAAAGCGAAAGCTCCTCTCAATTCTGTGTTCATGCTATAACCTAATGTCCAGTCATTTTGCCTGAATAAGCTAGATAAAAGCATAGAAATCATCATTATAGCTCCCCATAGATAAGATCCATCTTAATCTTAATTTAAGATAGCCTGGATGCAAAAGTTTAAAGCCACAGAATTAAACAACTTTAGTGATATATTAAAAAACATGTAGCAAACAATGATCATGATCTTCTTTTTGAAAACAGAGAGTAAGCAAAACCAAACTTTTAATGGCTAGTTTTGGAAAATTAATTGTTTAAATGAATAAAATAAATTAAATAGTTACAGTTAATTCAGATTTCTATAGTACTTTATCAAGATTTTCAATAAAATATTTAGAATTATATTCTACTTTTTAATCATCCATAAGTTTTGGTATATGATTAAAGTTCAGTTTTAATCCACTATTAAGAGCTTTCTTAATAATAAATGCTATTTTAGCTACATTCAACATGAAAAGTCTTCCAACAACAGAATTTCCTTATCTGTAATCAAGTTGGTTGTGTATTTCATTAGTATTTTAATACTTTACTTCTTCTTATTATCTAGGTAAAGTATTTATCATATTTCTAATTTCAGATTTGCTTTTTTACAAAGTTAATTAAATTGAAATCTTAATTTATTAAATTTTATCAAAATAAACTTTACAAAACATGAATTTAAATATTAAGAAAATTCATTAGTAAATGCCATAAAGTATTATATTTTAATTATATAGTAAATATTTCTAATAATTTCGGATTTACAAAGAAAATTTTTTATGTGATAAAAAAATACTTGTTGATAAATAAGGCAGATCAATAAATGAAATAAATTTATATGAATCTATTAATTTTATACAAAACTTACATAAATTTATTAGAAAATGAATTAATTAATTAATTCATTTCTATATTCCATATCAAGTAAATTAAAGTATAAATAATCTTTTACAATTTTAAATTATTAAAAATTAGTAATTTGCTACTTGTAAAGCATAATTAAGTTTCAAGGTTAAAATTAAATTTCCTATTATCAAACCAAATAATCGGATATAACTTAAAGAAAAAAATCAATTTTTTTATTTTTAAAGAACCCTTAAAATTGGTTAATTAATCTATAAATTTATTTTATAAACTGTTTATTTAATTTATCATTTTTTTAATATAAACTTTTAGAAATTTGCAGACCAAATTATGTTTTTTAGGCTTTCTTTAATTTTAGAGCAATTTAATAGTTAAATAAGTTACTTATGTTTATATTTTATTTAGTTTTTTTATCAAGAAAGGCAGTTTTAAATTTAATTACTTCATCATTTTTGAACTAAAATTTAAATTTTTACTTTTTTAGATTTGCTTGTATGAAACTTGATTTTTGAAAGAATTAGTAAAATTTTAAAAATTTTGAAAAATTCGAAACTATATTTCTATATGGTAAATTATATTTAAGATACAATTGTTTTATTCCAAACTATTTTATCTATTAAATTTAAAAAATAAAAAACCATTATATTATTTAGGATATTTATTATACTTTATATGCATATGAAATATTAATTTTCTTTACAAATTAGAGCTTAAAATATATAATTAATTGTATTTTTTATCTAATAAATTAATACATTTCAATAGGTTTTACTTTATAATGAATAAAATTTTACTTGAAAATGAAGTGAGTTTAACTATTTTTAATTTATAAACTTTATTTTTTTATATTTTATTTATCAATTTTTTGATAACTAATTTAAAACCATTTTTTTGTGAATTTAAAATATTACATCAATTAAACTATCAAATCAGCTTTTTAAATCACTTTATTTGGTTGAATAATTAAAGTATATAACATATTAACTCTATTAAATTGATTGAAATATTAAAATAAGCTATTTCAATTAACTCAAAAATAGGATAGTACTTTAATTATTTTAAAATATTTATTTTTTAATTTGAAATATTTACTTTATTCATTTATTTATTTTAATTAATAATTTGATTATTTTGTTTATTATTTAAAATATTATTTTATTTTTTAACTTATTTATTATTTTATTCACTGAATTATTTATTTTATTAAGTAAAATATTTACTTTATGTTTAAAATTTTGGGAGAATATAAAATGAATGAAGAAAACTAGATGGGATGAAAAATTAAATATTAATTAATTTATATTCCCCACTGTGGCATTCTACTGTTTATTTTTTAGGAGGTTCCATTTAAAATGAATATATTTCCACTAAAATTTATTTTACTCATAAATTACTATTTAAAAATTAAAATTTAAAATAATTTTTAATTAGAAACAAAATAAAATTATGAAGATTATGAGATGAGAGAATAATAATTTTTAGTAACTTTTGTTTGTTTTCGATGTTTAGACAAAATATTATTACTAATAAAGAGGATTTTATAAATTATGGTAAACTAAAAATAATTAAAATAGAACAAATTATGCTTTTTACAGTGTCTAATTATAAATATAAAAAGTGTCTATTTTTGAATTTAAATACAAAATTATCTAACAAAAACAATAATTTTATCTTTAAATTTACTTAAATATAAAAAATAATGATATAAGAAAATTAAAATATTTTAATTAAATACAAAAGAATATACAGAAATATAATTTATATAAGTAAGAATGATTGTTTATATTTAAACTAATTTTGTTAGAGTTGTTTTTAGTTAATAATTTATGATATAGATTTGTTAAATAAGTTTTATGGTTAGATTTGAATAAAAGGGATTTAATTAATTGTTTTGGTTGTAATAGAGTGATATCGAAATTGATTAAGGGAGTAAATTTATTTTGTGAAATTTAGCTATTCTATTGTTGAGATCATTTAATTTTTTTGCTATTATGAATCAAGATTTGGCTAATTAATTTCAATTTTTTAAGAAGGGATGTTCAAGAATTTCGAGTGCTGTTATTCTTTCACTATCTTCCTTTTTTAACATCTTAATCAAAAGATCTAGGCATAAATCATAATCTTCTTAAGTTATTTAGACAGAAGTTTTTAGTTTTTATTGAATAAAACTTTTTCCAAATTTAATTATATTTTTGTAAATGGGAGAATCGCTTGTGAATTCGTGTTTTAATGAAAGCCTTCTTTAGAACAACACGATGAAAAAGGAGTAGCCTAAAGAGAAAATATCACCTTATTTTTCACAATTTTCAGTGAATTCTTTTTTACTAATTTAAGAATAAATACTAGGAGAAAAGTATTAAGTAGCTCTGAAATCCCATTCTTTTATTCTATTAGAATTTTGCTCTTGCTTATTCTAAGTAGAGTAAGAAAAACCGAAGTCTGAAAGCTAGAATTCGATTTCTCCGTTTTCATTTTTAAAGCAAAGAACATTTTCTAGTTTAAAGTCATTGTGGGCAATATCCATTTTGTGAAGATAAGCCAAGGCAGATGCCATGCTTCTTAGGTAGTTTTTAATTATATCTATTTATGGAACACTTTTAGTAAAAAGATCGAAGCCATCGCAATTAGCTTAAGGAAAAAGTATCATACAACCACCTTTATAATATTGCTAGATATCAATTGGTCTAGTAATATTTGGGTGATCTAATTGAGAGGCAATTTTAAATTCATTATGAAGTTATGAGCAAGCTGAAAAACACTTATTATCTACTATAGAATGGACACATTCTTTAAGGACTATGTTTTCGGATAATTTCTCTGACTCATCAATGCACTTAACTACTGACAATATTGTGCGTGCATCGTTTGAAATTTAATTTATTATTTCATATTTTTCTTAAACAAGTTTAGAGTGCTTCATTTGTTTTTTAAATTATTGAATATTTTCTTTGATGTAATTTATTTTTTAAAAATTTATTAATTTTTTTTTTTTTAGCTGGCAAATCTTAAATATTTAAAAATTAGTTTCTCCTGTAAAATTAATTCTTTTAATTATTTTTTTTCTGATAAATTATATTGTTCAAATCACACTAATAATTTCGGGTCTGAAAATTTTTCTATCTTTTTATCTATTAGAATATTGTGAAAGCAACATGACTCTTATTGTATTAGCTATTTTACTCTGTAGCTATTAAAATAAATAAATCCTATTTATTGCATTGATAAATTTTAAGATGTAAAATATTTATTTTTTACCCACTTTGTTAAAATAAAATAGCAAACTAATTATAAATTTTTTAGGTAAAAATAAACCCCTTAAATAATCATTTGATACCAAAAAAGTAAAAAACTCTTTATAATTAAAAGAAAATAGAAACACTTTTATTAACATATTTATTTTATTTTTTCTTTAATCTTTTGATACCATAAAAGAACTAACCAAAAAAAAAGGAGATACTTTGATTTAGGGATTAAAAAGATAATTTATTTATGCAAAATTCATAGTAATACATTTTTAGTCTAATATGACTCTGAGTAAAAGAAAATTGTGATTATAAATTTAGATTTTTATTGTTAAATTTTGATCCAAAAATATTTACATTTACATTTTTATTGAGAATGGCTTGAATTTATTTCTTTTCAACGATTAATTTTGCTATCTATTTGCAATATTTAAAAAAACTATATAATGAATAGAAAATAGAAACACTTTTATTAACATATTTATTTTATTTTTTCTTTCTTATCATCAAATATTTCTTTTAATCTATTTTGTGTAATTAAATTGATATAAAGGTCATAATAAAAGACAAAATATAATTACATTAAATTTATAGATAAATATTAACTAGTTTTTTTTATAATGTTTTAATTCATATATTAAATATTATTTCCCACACTCAATGATGGTGGTGATCATGACCTCCACAGCAACCTTCGTTTTATTTGGTTTCTTAAGATTTATTTTCAAGTTTTTTTACTAAGGATTAGTTTTCAGCGAATTTTTTGTTTAAGTATTCAACGTCTTCGGGGAAAGATTCTTTAATTCTATTGATATATTCTTGAGCAGCTGTGTTCATTGGATACTTTGATGTATAATCATCATAAAATTAGTAGAATTTTTCTTTTGAGTAATGTTATCTAAATTCAGAAAGATTTCTAAAGGCAAATGGATAATCATATTTTACTTCTAAAGATTTTAGGCAGTATTCAAATGATTTTTCGTAATTTTTTCTGCTGAGATTAATTGCTGCTAAGACATTGATAAAAGAGTGGTCTTTATATTCAGTCAAGCGATTAAGATTTAAGTAGGCTTTTTCAGCTAAATCATAAATTTAAGAAGTGTATGTAAGCTCAGCTAAGAATTACCATGCGATGATATCATCAGGGCATTCGCTTGTCCAGTTTTAAGCAATCATAACTGCAGCACTCATTTTTTACATTAAAATGCATGCAGTTACTGTTTCTTGATATACCTAGCTAGATTTTGGTTGCTATTAGAGTTTCTTTTCCATTATAAATAGAGCTAGATCCATGCTCTTTGCTTTTTTGGCAGTTTGGAAGGCAGATTTCAAAGCAAAATTTTTATTTTCTTTATTCATTAAATCACTTTTTAAGAATAAATTGATAGCTTGTTAGTATTAGCCTTGTTTAGTTAGAGAAAGTGCGAGATTATAGTATCCTCTATAGTCATTAGGTTAGAGCTAAATTAATTCTTCGTATGCTTAAATAGCAGATTATTCAGCACCAATTTAAGAGTAGTAATTTCCTTTAATAACTAATCCATCACTATATAAAGGATCTATTTCATCAATTTTATCTATGCACTTTCTTATAAGTTCCAAATAGTTTTGAGTTTCTTCCTCAGTTAAACCATTATCAAGCTATAATTTGTTGCAAAAATGGTCAGCTACTAAACACAGCACTTAAATGCACTAAAATTCTTCGCTTTGAGATTTTAAAGCAAGGTCCATTAATGAATCAATAGTATCTGAATTTTCTCCTTCCTTAGATAAGCATAGAGCGTAATTGCAAAATCCATGAGCCTTAAATTTGTTAGAACCTTACTCAATAAATACTTCATAAGCTTTTTTTGCTTCATCATATCTTTTCAAAGAAAGTAAGCAATCAGCAACTCCAAGCATGCTTAAATCATCCTTTGGATCAGTTTTCAGCATTTCTTTATACAAAGCGAGAGATTCTTCATACTTTCCCTTATGATAAAGTTGATGGGCTTCAGAGCCTCTTTGTTAAGCTTATTACAAAAGTTGGTCCATATATTGAATTTTATCTATCGAAGTTAAAAAGATAATTTTGTTGTCTTTAATAAAGATATATATATATATATATTCTAAAATTATAGAGTAAAGGTACTTCAAGTAATATTTATATTTTACTTTAGATGCATACAAAATTCTTAAAATAAATATCATGTGTAAAAAACAAATCAAGATAAATGGAATCAAGCAAATATATTTAAAAAGACACTTTAAATCAATACATCACTTTTCATTAATTTAATTTAACTTGTAGATGATAAAATATGATAAAAACAAAAAATTGAAGTTGCTACAAATTAAATTTGCTTTAAGTATCTACTAGATTCTTTGGAGTGAGAATTAATGAATTATTTTATTCTTTGAAAATAATGTGAAAATATTTTGTGAAAAATAAATACAAATGAATTATCACACATTTCATTAATCAATTGCTTTACATGAATTAAATTAAATTATTTCAAATTTTCTATGAAATTTTATTGTTAAGATAGGTATTTAAAAGTAATTGTTACTAGTTACTAGAAATAGATAAAAGATATCTATCAATTATAAGCTTCTTAAGTTTCTATACAAATTTATTATTAAGCAAAGAAATTATTGTTTAATTGAGTTTATTTTAAGTAAAATTATTGCCATTTCATATATGTTTGGTATGAGATTGATAGTTAAAATATTAAAATACTTTTTCTTTCGTTTAAAAAAGCATAAAATAATATTAAAGTATTTAAATACCTCTTTTAAAAAGCCTATAAGAAAAATAAATTATTAAGTGAAATTTTTAGTGAGTTTGATATTTTTTTTAAAGGATTATAATAGACGCTTTAATTCATGATTTTTCTTATTTTCTTAAGTTTTAAGATTAATTAAATTATTAATATAAATGTGGCTATTCGATAAAATATCTTTGTACTTCTTTCTATTTTTTATTTCAATGATAATTAGAACTATTTTTGTAGCTATTATATAAAATATCTTTTTTATATTTTTAATTTATCAATGATTAAAACAATTCATAAAAAAAATTCATTAATAAAATAATTTTTTCTTTTTTATTTTAAGAATAAATTTATAAAATTAAATATTTAAAAAATATTAAAAGTTACTTGAGTAAATCTTAAAAGTAAATCTAAATATAAGCATTTATAATTGTTTTAAGTTTTAAAATTAAATATATTTTTATTAAGATGGCTATAAGAAGATTAAATTTCCTTTAAATTTTTCTATTTTTAAATTCATGAATAAAATGAATATTTAATAAAGATTTTTAAAAGAAATTCTTTAAAATCAAAAAATTTTATTCAAAAATAAATTTTATCTTTTTAATAACTCTAATAAAATAACAAATTTATTTAAATGAAGTTTAAAATGCATTTAAATAACAGAATTACTTAATACTTATTAATAACTTCAGTTTTAAATTCATATATAATTTTAAGATGTTTTAAATGGATTTAAAGCTACTTTTTTAGTATAAATTGGATTTTTATTCCATTTAATAGATAGCTAATGTATGTTATCTAGATATTCTATTCTTGAGCTCTCACTTTTTTTAAAGGAATTTAAAAATTATAAAAATTTTAGTTAATAAATATTTACATTGAATTTGAAGTATAGTTTTGTGAATTATCTTTTATTGAAAATGAAATCCCTTATCTTATCTATACTCTTAGTAAATTTTACTACATAATTTAATTTATTTGCCTATTTGTGATATCTTCTTCAAAATATGTTTTTTTAGAAACAATAAATCTTTTTTTGCAAAATTTGATTTGCAAAATTTGTATTACTACAAAAGCTGAATATACCAAAATTATCAGATATAAAAGACCTAAACAAATTACTGTAGACCATGCTATGTAAATACTGTTATAGTAAGAAACTAAAATCATATTTATGCATATTAGCAGCTGCATAAATTCAAGAGCTAAGTAGTATCTTTATTCTTATTAAGCTAGAATTGGTTTGTAGTGTAGAATGTAAACAAAAAAAACAAAGTTTAGAGATAACATTAGGCATAAAGAGACTATTTAGTTTGGGATTAAAAAGATAAAACAAGAATTCAATATTTTCTTTATTTCAAAAAGTAACCAAAAGTATTTTGCATATGGAATTTCTATTTAAAGACCATCTATTAAACTATAGTATTTTGTGATTTATTAAATATCTGTATTTTTATTGAAATTCTTAATCTTCAAATAAAAGAAAACTAAAAACAAGCCATAGCATATTAAATATGTTATTTATAGAGAAAAACTTACAATCTAAATAACATTTTAAAATTCTAAGTATTTGAACGAATTAAAAATTGAAATCAAAATGTAATTTGAGAAAAGAAGTTAAAGTTTAATTAAATATGAAACATTTTTTTCGTTGACTTCACTGCAGAATTCAAACCTATTCTTCAAAGACTTAGCAATCGCTAAAAAGATTATTAGACTTGCTGCAATTGCTAAAAATTTTATAAAGTCACTCAAAAATAATTGACTTAATTTAATTGAATTCAATCTCCTAAAGTCACTAGAAGAAGCATTTGTTTAATCTAAAATTCTTTTGTCAGTATATTTTTTATTGTTGTCTGAATTATTATTGCTTTAACTTCCCTAAAATATTGGAGAAGGTATTAGACTTAGAATATTCATTTAATATCCTTAATCAAGGAAGGTAGAACCTATGCTTAAAGTTTTCAATTATCCAGAAAATTTCATGTTTCCTATCAATTACTAAACTTAAAGTGAGTATGAAAATAAATTCCCTGAAGAAGAAAGAATAAAAGTTGCTGTAGCTTAAAAAGTTACTGAAGCAACTTGAACAGACTGCATGGTTGTATCAGCTTTTGTTATGATATTTAATTCTTATAGACATTCCTTTTAAGTATTATACAAGCATGAATAGTTTTCATACCTTGTATCATATTCGCAATATGATATTTTGTTATTATATTCTTTCAAACAAGTTGTACATTTATCTTTACTTTCACATTCTAAGCAGTTTGTAATTGTGCATTTTTAGCAGGTATTTTTGCTATCTACATATTCAAATGATTGACATGTTGTACAAACTCTTTATGATTCACTTTAAAAACTAAATTTAGGTTGACAAAGTATACAAATTTAAGAATTTTCGCAATGTATACAGTTTATACCGCATTTCTAACAGATATTATTTGAATCAGAATAATATGATTCAGGACACTAGAGCAAACAAGTTGATGCTGTTTTACTTATCTAAAGATAAAAACACTTTTAGCATTTGTTTGTTTAAGGATTTTTAATATAACCATCTAAACATTTATCAACACAATAATTATTCTAATCGAAAAACTAATTAAGATTAGCACATTATATACATTGGGTTTCTGATGGCCCAAAACAGCTTTTGCATTTAGAATGACAACTTTAACAACTTTTTTTAGCCTAATCTTTATTTTAAAACGAATATATATAATGAAATTAATATTTTGCCAATGAAGCATATATTATATATAAATAATTAGCTCAAATTAAAAAAAAAATTCAAAATTATAAATTTAAGATAATTAAATAAATATAAATTAAATTTGTAAACCTAATTTTCTTTTAAAAAAATTGAAATAAAATAATATTTTTTGAGTATTGTTTAGAATATAAAATTACCTAAATAAGTTCCTTCTTTACAGCTAAAGCACAACCCATCATACAAAGTATAGTTAGAAGCACAAGTATTACATTGATATTAATCACTGCAAGATAAACAATTATCATCACATTTATTACACATATTATTCTTGTAATAATATCCTTTTTCACATTAAGAACAAGTATTAAGAGAAGTACAACTTAGACAATTGTTTTAGCATTTTATGCACTTCGTTTTATCATTAAATTCTGTAGATTAACATAAACCGCAAATTCCACTTTATATAGTTATAAATAAATTTGGATTTAAGCATTTCAAGCATTAGTTTTACTAGCTTCCTGAACAAGTTTAACAATCTAAATGGCATTTTTAGCAATAATGACTTTAATCAAAATATGAATAAGCATATAAACAAGTAATGCAGTCTGACTTAGAAGGCCCATTACATGTTAAGCAAGTTGAATCACATTTCTTACAATAATTTCCATCTATGTAAAAGCCCTATCCAGGACAAGAATCACAAGACCCATCAGGTAAGAAATAGAGCCCAAGTTTACATTAAGTGCAATTTTTATTTGTTTTTCCATTACAAGTTTGGCATGATGAATCACATTGATAGCAGAATCCACCTATTTTTATTTAAAAAATAAATTATATTTTAAAATTAAATATTGCTTAAGTTTTTAGTGTTAAAAAAAAAAAATTTAATTAATTACTTTATTAATCAATAAATTGTTAATTATTTATATCGCAAAATTGACAAGACATGTTTGGGTATAGTGTTTTTTAAGAAGGACAGGTTAAGCAACTCGTAGATGAAGGACCGCTACATGTTTAACAGCTTTGATCACAAGGAAGGCATTTATTTCCACTTATATAATATCCTTTATTAACTTAGCACTAACTACAAGTTCCATCCTAAAATAAATATAAACCTGCTGTGCATGTTAAACAGTTATTAGATGCTGGACCATTGCAAGTTTAACAGTTAGAACCACACGGTGAGCAATTATTTTGGTCAATATAAAATTTATTACTTACTTCACATAATCCACAAGATTTATCAGCAAACAAATATTTTCCTGATGGGCAGGTTAAACAACTAGTTTTTTATATTCCAAAGCATGTTTTGCATGATGAGTCACATTGAACACAATTATTACCACTTATATAATATCCATTATTAGTATTACAGCTCCCACATGATTTATCTTAAAACATATAGCTTCCAATAGGGCAAGTTTAGCAATTATTTGACAGCAAACCAAAGCATGTTTAGCAAGTATTATGACAAGCTAAGCATTAAATACCGCTAATGAAATAACCATTATTTAAATCACATAAATTACATGTATTATCAGAATGCAAATATCTTGAGGGAGGACATTATGTACAGTTGTTAAAAAAAGGACCGTTGCATTACTAACAACTTTAATCGCAAATAAGACATTTTTTTCCACTGATATAAAACCCATTAACTGTGTCACATGTATTACAAGAGTTATTAGAAAATAGATAGTTTCCATCTTTGCAAGATAAGCAGTTAGTTGATGAAGGGCCATTACAACTTAAACAAGAATTATCACATACTAAACATTTATTTCCTTCAATATAATATTGCTTAGTTGTATCACAAATGCTACAAGAATTATCAGAATACAAGTAATTTCCACTATTACATGACAAACAGCTATTTTGAGATCCATCATTACAAGTTTTACAAGACAAGTCACATTTTAAGCAATTAGTTCCATTGATATAATAACCATTAGATATATCACAACTATTACATGAGTTATCAGGATGTAAGTAGCTTCCAACCTAGCAAGATAGACAGTTGTTTGAGGAAGATCCTTAGCAAGTTAAGCATGTTGAGTCACATGGCAAACAGCTAATGCCACTTATATAAAAGCCATTATTCACATTGCAACTATCACATTTTTTGTTCAAAAATAAATATTTTTAAGGAGGACAGCTTAAGCAATCATTAGAAGTAGGTCCTTAACAATTTGAGCATGCAGAATCACATTTAAGACAGTTTATTCCATTAATGTAATATCCATTATTAATATCACATTTTTTGCAAGAATTATCAGAATAAAGATAATTACCATTAGGACACGATAAACAATTTGTTGTTTGTAAGCCGTTACAAGTTGCACATGTAGAATCACATGACAAGCAACTAACACCAGAAATAAAAAAACCATTTGCTGTATTACATAAGTTACAGCTATTGTCAGCAAACAAATATTTTTGCTAAGGACAAGTCAAGCAATTTTTTGAAGTTGACCCATTACAGGTTGCACAACTAGAATCACAGGAAATACAATTATTTCCACTAATAAAAAAATTATTTTAAATATCACAGGTATTGCAAGTATTGTCAGAGTGTAAGTATTTTTGTTATGGGCATGACAAACAATTATTTTATGAAGGGCCATTGCAAGTTAAGCAAGATTAATTGCACTCAAAGCAATTAATACCATCAATATAATAACTATTATTTGTGTTACAAATGTTGCAAGTTTTATCAATAAATAGATATTGACCTGAAGGGCATGTTAAACAATTAGATTCTAAAGGCCCATTGCATGTTTTACATGATTTATTACATGGTACACAATTTTACCCATTTATAAAATATCCATTATCAGTTATGCAATTATTACATGTATTATCTTAGAATAAATACTTTCCTGAAGGGCATGTTAAGCAATTAGTGGCTGATGGACCATTACAATTCAAACAATTTGGATCACAAGTTAGACATTAAATTCCATTAATATAATACCCATTAGAAGTGTTGCAAGCACCACAAGTATTATTCAGGAATAAATATTTTTAATCTGGGCAGGTCAGACAGTTTGTAGATAGTCCTCCACTGCATGTTTTACAAGTTAAATCACAAACCAAACACTTTATACCTTAAACATAAAAACCTGCGCTTGTATCACAATTCTAGCATGAATTGTCAGAATACAAATAATTACCTAGAGGACAAGTTAAGCAATTATTTTTATTAGATCCACTACAAGTTTAACAAGAAAGATCACATTTTAAGCAATTATTACCACTAATAAAATAACCATTATTTATTTTGCAAATATTGCAAGAATTATCTTGATACAAGTATTATCCAGAAGTACAAGTTAGACAATTATTTGGAGTTGAACCATTACAAGTTGCACAAGATTAATCACAAGCAAGACAATTATTCCCATTTACATAATAACCATTAGCTGTATTACATTAATTACAAGAGTTATCAATGAATAGGTAGGTTGAAGGAGGACATGAAATACAATTTGTTAAAAGTGATCCATTACAAGTCGCACATGAAGGATCACACTTTAAGCAATTAACACCATTAATAAAATATCCATTACTTGTATTGCAAACATTACAAGAATTATCTGTGAATAGGTATTTACCATTTTGACATGTGAGACACTGATTTTTGGTTGAACCGCTACATGTCACGCATGAAGAATCACAGGCTAAGCATTTAGTATTATTAACATAGTAGCCATTACTTATATCACAAGAATCACAAGAATTATTTTAAAATAAGTATTTTCCTTCCGAGCAAGTTAAACAATTATTAAGAGTAGGTCCATTGCAAGTTAAGCAAGAAGAGTGACAAGCAATACACTTAGAATTATCAATAAAATACTGATTATTTATATCACATACACTACTACATGAGTTATCTGCATATAAATAATTTCCTTGAGGGCAAGACAAGCAATTATTAGGAGATTACCCATTACAAGTTTAACAAGAAGAGTTACATGAAACACAATTTATTCCACTTATATAGAATTTATTGGAGGTATCACAAGCTCTGCATGATTAATCTGCAAATAAATATTATCCTGAATGACAACTCAAACAGTTATTAGAGGAAGGGCCATTGCATGTCAAACAAGAAGAATCGCATGGATAACAATTAATTCCATTTATATAGAAACCATTACTGACATCACAAATATTGCAACTAAAATTATTAAATAAATATTTTCCATTTGGACAACTTAAGCAGCTGTTAGAGGATTAACCACTACAAGTTAAACAAGATTGATCGCAAGCAGTACAAGCATTACCATCAATAAAATATCCATCACTTGCTATACAGTTATTACAACTATTATTAGCAAATAAATATTTTCCTGAAGGACAAGTTAAGCAATTATTACTACTTGGTCCACTGCAAGTAGAGCATGATTAATTACAAAGAGTACAATAACCACCATTTATGAAGAAGCCATTATTTGTGTTACAAATATTACAAGTTCCATTCTAAAATAAATATTTTCCTGAAGGACAACTTAAGCAATTATTACTATTTGGTCCACTACAAGTCATGCAAGATGAATCACAAGATGAACAATTAATCCCATTTACATAATAACCATTATTTATATTACAATTATCACAAATTCCATTTAAAAATAAATATTTACCAGAAGGACAACTTAAGCAATCTGTATTTTAATTTCCACTGCAAGTAGCACAAGAAATGTCACAAGAAAAGCAACTACCACCATTAATATAATAACCACTATTAGTATTACAAATATTACATGTGCTATTAGAAAATAAATATTTCCCTGAAGAACAGGTTAAACAGTTATTAGCTAAAGACCCATTACATGTTGCACAAGATTGATCACAAGCAACACAAGAATTACCATTTATGAAATATCCATTACTTGTAATACAATTATTACAGCTTTTATTTGCAAATAAATATTTTCCTAAGGGGCATGTTAAGCAATTAGTATTATTTGATCCATCACAAGTAGAGCATGATGAATCACAAGGTGAGCAACTTCCACCATTTATGTAATAACCACTACTAATATTACAAATATCACATACACCATTAGAAAATAAATATCTTCCTGAAGGACAGCTTTAACAATTTTAGTTATTTGGCCCATTACAAGTGGCACAAGATGAGTCACAAGGAAAACATTTATTACTATTTATATAGTATCCATTATTAGTATTGCAAATGTTACAAGTACCATCCAAAAACAAGTATTTTCCTGTTGGACAAGTTAAACAATTAGTATTTTAAGATCCATTACAAGTTGCACAAGATTAATCACAAGCAGTACATGAATTGCCATTTATGAAATATCCGTTACTGGTAATACAATCATTACAACTGTTATTAGCAAATAAGTATTTTCCTGTAGGACAAGTTAAACAATTAGTGCTATTTTTTCCATTACAAGTAGAGCATGATGAATCACAAGGTGAGCAACTTCCACCATTTATGTAATAACCACTACTAATATTACAAATATCACATACACCATTAGAAAATAAATATCTTCCTGAAGGACAGCTTTAACAATTTTAGTTATTTGGCCCATTACAAGTGGCACAAGATGAGTCACAAGGAAAACATTTATTACTATTTATATAGTATCCATTATTAGTATTGCAAATGTTACAAGTACCATTCAAAAACAAGTATTTTCCTGTTGGACAAGTTAAACAATTAGTATTTTAAGATCCATTACAAGTTGCACAAGATTAATCACAAGCAGTACATGAATTGCCATTTATGAAATATCCGTTACTGGTAATACAATCATTACAACTGTTATTAGCAAATAAGTATTTTCCTGTAGGACAAGTTAAACAATTAGTGCTATTTTTTCCATTACAAGTAGTGCATGATGAATCGCATGATGAGCAATTACCTCCATTTATGTAGTAGCCACTATTGGTATTACAAGTATTGCACATACCATTCAAAAATAAATATTTTCCTGATGGACAACTTAAGCAATTATTATTGTTTGGTCCATTACAAGTCATACAAGATTGATTGCAGGGTGAGCAATATATGCCATTTATATAGTAACCACTATTGGTATTACAAACATCACATATGCCATTTTAATATAAATATTTACCAGAAGGACAACTTTAACAATTATTATTATATGGCCCACTACAAGTTGCACATGATGTATGGCAAGGTAAACAATTATTTCCATTAATGTAATAACCGCTATTTATATTACAATTATTGCAAGTCCTATCTTAAAATAAATATTTACTTGCAGGGCATGTAATACAGTTATTATTATTTGGGCCATTGCAAGTAGAACACGAAGAATTGCACTGAATACAATAAATTCCTTATGTAAAATAACCACTAACACAAGTACTACAAGTGTTATTATAATACAAGTAGTTTCCGCTTGGGCATGTTAAACAATTTTAGTTTCCCCCTGCCTAACACGTAGCACATGAAGAATGACAAGGATAGCAGTAAGAACCACTTATATAATACCCATTATTTGTATTACATACACCACATGAGGAATCAGTAAATAAATAATATCCATTATTACAACTTTAACAATCATATTAACCTCCCTTTTAGCAAGAAGCACATGTTGTATAGCATCTATAGCAATTATTTCCCGATTAATAATAAGGACCACTTTAGCAACGACTGCAAAAACTATACCAGTGGTCACATGAACAATTACTTCCACAAAGTAATCTTAGTTTTTATCTCCTACGTAAGCTTTAAAGAAAAGAATAAATTTTTTAATATTAAAGAAAATGAATTATATTCAATAATTATTTTAAATTTATTTAAAGAAATAAATCATTTCTATCTTTTATCAAAATTAAATTTTATTTAATTCTTAAGAATTTAATAATACAAAATGACAAGTTGTTTTTAAACTTCTATATATAATATTGTCTATAATAAAATAAAAATTAAAAATTTATTTTACTCAAATATTTTTAAATATCATCAAAAATTAGCAATATAAAAATATTTTTTTAAAATTATTTAAGGACCATATATTGCCATTATATTAATATAAATTAAAAAGAACTAATTTTAGAAATATAAAACAACTAATTTTAAAAATTATAAATTTTCCAAAATAATAACTAGAAAGTGATGCTTAAAATAAAATAAAAATTTATTTATTTTCCTCAATGAGCAAAATAGATTCATATAATATTAATATATTATTAAAATTATTGATATTGGATGCCTCGAACTTATTAATTTAATTTTGAAGTAAATTATTCAAAAAGCAAAAGAAAACAAAATACATCGTTTCATCTTCCTGTTGAGTATCTTCAGTTCTGATAAGATTAGCAGAGATAAATAAGGAGAAAGAAAAAACTATCAAATTAAATAATAGATTTAAGAAAAGTTGGATATTTAAAAATATAATTACCTAAAAATGGAAAAAACAAAGAAACTAATACCATCTTAAATAATTATTTGTTTCAAAGATTATTTTCTCAGATTATTTACACTAAAAGTTTTTTTTAATTAATTATAATTAATTTCACAATTTTTTATTTTATTAATATAATTTAAAGCCACCAAATTTTACTAATCGTTTAAACCAAATACAATATTTTTGGATAAAAAAAATAACTTTTTAATTTTTTAAAATAATTGAGCAAATATATAATAAATGAGAATGAATTAGAATACTAAATACTGTGTACTTTTATTTAATTAGCTCATAAACATTTCCATCATTGAATATTCAATGAACCAGTTAAATAAAAAGATTTAAATATATAAAATATTAACTAGAAAATAATTATTATTAAGAAGATGCAGTAAAGAGGTATTATTTTCAATTAGTGAATAATATTTCATATATCTTGAAGGTAAAAGTGAAAAGTCAGAATATAATTATTGCTGATAATTACAAATTTTGTTTACTATTAAATAGAAAAGCACATGAATAGTAAATAATATCTGAGTAATTTTGCTTTTTATTATTTATTAGATTTTGTGAATATTGTTAGTTATCAAAAATCCATATAATTGTGGTACTTTTTTACTGATATAATATGCAATTATTCGCATATGTACTTTTTTAACGTATAGAATATAGCATAATTATAAAATGTATCTAAACAAACAAATTAATAAATATTTAAAAATATTTTCAATATTTGTATTTATTTTGAAATAGTTTTTTATTTATTTAAAAGACTAGGATGATAATTTTAAATAAAGCAAGTTATTACAAATTTTCCATCTAATAAATTGATAGTCTTAAAAAAAGATTGGAGTAATTAATATAAATAAGAGAAATAGCTTAATTGACTTTTGAGAGAGTATCATTCTTGTTATCATTATTTAGAATCAAACTAATAAATTACGTAATGCAATTATGCTTTTAAGAATTTGTGCTTACCTTTTTAATTGAAATTGAAAAGTCTTAAAGTAAAAAATAATATTTATCAACTTTTTCTTTAGAATGGCACTATAAAAAATAACAAAAAAAATATTATTAATAATAATAGATAAATAGTAATAAATTTCTATCAATCAATAGATAGTTTTTGAAATATTGAGAGTAATTAAATCTTCCCAATCATCTCTTTTTTATTATAAAAAAACTTCTCTGGTAATAATTTTTTGTTATTAGGAAAACCAATTATTTAAAAATGCATCTATGGTATTTCGCTATTTTACATTTTTTATATTTCTGGCTATATTAATTTACTTTGCCCTTGATATTATCTTTAAATGAATAAATTAATAAAAGACAGTTTAATCCATTTAATATGATAGCGCATCTTTTGAAAGTATATATGCTTATTACTAATGCATTGTTACAGTTTATAATATTATATTACTTGAATTAATAAAATTCAATGAATTAAAAACAATATTTCTTAGAAATTTAAATATAATTCATACAGCTAAATGATTATTTAAATATTTTCATAATTAATTATTTATTTGTTTTTCTCCATCAGTTAATTAAGATTTTTACCACAAATTAATTTAGAAGGATTTTGGTGAGCGTTGGCAAAAAGGTTTCAGTATTTAATAATCACAATCTAAATTTTTCTTTGGATTACAAATAGGAGGTGTTTAATCTTAAATTAATAGTATTTTTATAATGTTAGTAAGAAAAAGGAAGCTAATCAATTTTTATGATTATTCTGAATGCAAATCATATTGATCATTAAAAAAATCAAGTTTACATTGAGTTCTGAAATTTTTTAGTTAATCCCAGAATTTTCATCAATATTGAATCTTCAAAAATTTTGCTTCTTTAAGATAACTCTTCTATCTCATAAACTATTTGTTGGATCTGGTGCTAATTTTCAAACAAAAAATCAAGAAACAATATTAAATATTGAATAATATTTTAAATTTTATAAATATTTATTTTTACTATTCTTTTTTTAAAAAGTAAATTTTGTATTTATTATCTTTAAGGAAATATCATAATAATAGTTCCTTTAACTTGGTTCTATTTCTTAATTAAAATAAAGGATATCTTTGGTTAAAAAAATAATCTTCTTATTTTTCTAATAATTAATGCACATATGATTTAATTTTTTATATTAAAAATAAAATTTTATATTTTGGTAATGGTTATCAACCTTGAAAGCAAAAAAAATAGAAAAAATAAAAATTTTTCTAGTATGTGCAAATTCTTTTCTTATTTTGCAACTCTATATTTATAATTTATGAATATCAAAATATCATAAATATAAATATATATTTGTATCTATATTTATAAATCTGTTTTTTGCTATTATAATGATGGTAATTATAAATTAATTATTAAATGAATTTATTTTTAGGATCTTTTCAAAAATATTAAATTCTCCTTAATCAATTATTTTGTTATTTATTTCTTTTTACTTTTATTGATTACCATTTTTCAAATTATAATTTAATTATCTAATAATTTTTTTTAAACTAAATAATGCATTTAAAAATTTTTCAGAGCAGTCTAATTATTATACATTTTACAATATAAAATAATTTAATTTAACTAACTTATTATTTAATATCCTCAATTTTAAATTTAAAATATTATTGAGCTCTGCTATTTAAAGTTTATCTTTGAACAGTTTAGGTAAATTATTTGGAAGCTCATTTATTTATTCCTATATTACTTAACTAATCACATTTATTAAACGATTTATTTATAAAAAAATTTCTTTATCATAAATTTTATATATCATGATTTAATAAATTATAACCTTCTAATTTGATTTTCAAAAGTTATTTGTTTCAAGGAAAAATGAATTTTTGGAAGATTAAGGAGGAAGAAACTTTCCTAATAGATTAAAAATCCATTTTATTTTATATATTTGATACTTTTTTAAAACTACTAAATATAATAATTTTGGTGTTATTTAATTTATAAGCTAAATCATTATATTTATTAATTGATTTTTAAATAGTGAATTTTATTCCATTATTTTGATCGTTAAATATAATAAGAAATGCATATGTAAAATAATCTAAGGTATTTTTGAATTAATTTCCTTCGATTAAGAATTCAAAAACTCAGTTTTCTTTTAACTACCACTTGATATTCTTTGAGCAACAAACTTTCAGTAATAATAATTTAATAATTTTATTTAAATAAAATGGATTTATCAAATTTCTTATTAAATTTAAATAAGCAACCTTTAATAAACCTTTAATATTTTAAAGAATAAATAATAATAGTAAAACTCTCATTAGTTACATATAAAAAATTATCATTAGTGTCAAATGAGTAACTAAAATAGCTAAATTAATGTTTTTTTCACTATTTTTAAATTTAAAAAATAACTGCGAATTTTTCATTCAACAATTTAATAATTCAAAATAAATTAAAAATTTAAAAAAATATTAAATAATAAACTTAAAATAGCTTAATCAATATTTTGTGATTAAAAAATAAAAAATTTATTAAAGAGAGATATTTTTTATTTTAATTTTTAAAATTAATATTTCTCATAGATTTGATTAGGAGCTAAACCAAAAATTTTAGCTAATTTTTAAAAAAAATATTTGATACAATTTAAATAAGGAAACTTGCTACTGAAAAATTAAGTTAGAAAAATATGAAATAAAAAATGAATTTAAGAAATTTTTTATTATTTAAACATGCACATAATTTAAAAAAATTATAACTAGAAGAATTATTGAAAAAAAGGTAGATATTTACTATATAAATTTACAAATTATTTATAATAATTTCAGTTTTAATTTCAAATATTTTATGGAGCTTTAAGATTTAATTTTATCAATTTTCATAAATGTTTATTTAGTTTATTATATTTCAATTAAATATTTTTTAATTTTTACTTATATCAATCGATGTTTAACTTTGTTATAAGATTTCGAAAATGGTATTCGTATTTAATTAAATATTATTAAAAGAAACTATCTAAGAAGATTATTTTAATTACTAATTCTTATAAAAGCTGTTCTTGGTACAAGCTTTGAATTTCTTATATAAAAAATATATAAAAATGATTAATCCCCTTAATAAAGTCAATACTTGTATACAAATTAGAGAACCTGCAAATACTAAATAATTTTAAAAAGGTTTTAATATTTACTTTAAAGAAAAATTATAAATAAACAAATTACTTTTAAGTAAGGCTGAGAAACTTGTAAAACTAATTTCTAGTTCACTAATCAGAATTGTTTGAATTAGTTTGGCCAAAAAAGAAATAATTTCTTAAACCAAAATCATTAAATTTTGATTTTACTAAGCCAAGGGTTTTGCTATTATTATATATATCGTAAATCCGGAAGATAAAATTAAATCAATAGATAGAGCTATGGTTTTGTTAGGTAAAATTAAAATAAAGGCTACTGATATTAATTTTTTGGCTTCAAAAATAATCCAAAATACTTATTAAATCCTTTTTTATTTTATTTTATAACAAACAGCACCAAGTTTCTCTAATTGCATTGAGTCGAATTATGAAAAGCATATGCTTTTTACAATAAATGAAAAGTATATTATATAGATTAAAATATATGGAATAGATAGGAAAAATTCTATTTTATTTAAACTTTCGTTTTGCAATTAAAGTGTTTCAGCAATTAACAATGAGTTAGAACTTATTATTATGAATAGAAAGAGCATCTTATAACATAGATATCTTGTAAGGTTTCTCAGTTTATTAAAAATAAGATTTGTAAGTTTACAAATTATGAACAATATGGTTATTAATCCAATCAAAAGAGACTGATAAAAATAGTTATTAAAAAAATCAGTGAAGATATTTTGAACTAGCCAAATTGAATTAAAGCTTTTAATTTTATGCAATATAATTGAATCGTTTATTTAGAATAAATTTGAAGGAATGTTTAAAAGATTAAAGGCATAATCAGCTTTTATAAAACCTTAAGTATAGTAAATGAGCATATTATCAAGCAAGAAAATAGAGTTTCCTCTGAGTTGAGCAACTAATAAAAAGTAAAGAGATATTGTGTACTCATTAGTCATGAATAATAACTAAGGTAGTAAATAAATTATAGATAAAATAGCTAAGTAGTCATAAATTTAGCTATATCCTAAAAGTTCTAAATAAAGATTGTAACAGATACTTTGATCTTATTTATCTTCATAGCCACAAACTTCTGATGCATTCTATTCTTCTGCTGAAGGTTTTTATTTTTCATTGCACTTATTTAGAATCTTGTTATGTTCAAAGCCTTCTTCACATGAAAAGCAAATATCTTTCTCTTCACATAAAGAGCAACCTGTTTTACATTTCTAACATTCTCTTAATTTTTCATCAAAATAAAATCCATCTTTACATTTCAAAACACACTCATTTTCATACTTTATGAGAGGATGTATACAATAACTATAGCATCTGTATGCCAACTTATCAATTAGAAGACCGTCACAGCTATTTTGACACTTTTAATTATATAAATAAAAATCATTTTAACAAGAAAGGCATTTATTTTTATCACATTCCAAACATTTTTCTTGTTTACAAAGCTCACATTTTTTATGATCTTCAAAAGTCCCTTTAGGGCAAGTCTAAACACACTTTTTAGAAAAATTATCAAGTTTAAAAGAATCTAAACAACCTTTACATTCATCTTAATTACATTCTTTGCAATTTTCAAATTTAGAATTGCATAAATCACAATTGTTGCTTGAATAATTATAAAATTAATTTTCTTCACATTTTATTTCTTCACATTTTTATTGATTTAATTTATAACCACTCTCACATTCTTCACATTTATTACTAGATTCTGAGCATATATTGCAGTTACTTATTTGACATTTTTGGCATTAATTTTAATCATTTTACTATTTTTAATCTTTTTAACATTTAAAGCATTATTTATTATGTAATTAGTAATTATTTTCACACTTCTCACAGGTTTAACTAGAAGAGCATTATTAGCAGTTTTACAGCTTGCAAGGTTCACATTATTTATCATTTAAAAATGTACCTTATGGACAATTTTTAACACACTTGTTAACAGATTTATCTAAATAGAAGGATTCATTACAACTTTTACATTCATTTTAATTACACTCTTTACAATTTTCAAATTTATTTTAGCATGAATCACAAGCCTTACTCTGATAATTATAAAATTAATTTTATTCGCACTTTATTTCTTCACATTTTTATTGATTTAATTAATAACCATTCTCACATTCTTCACATTTATCACTAGATTCTGAACATATTTTGCAATTGCTTATAAGACATTTTTGACATTAATTTTCATCATTTTACTATTTTTAATCTTTTTAACATTTAAAGCATTAGTTATTATGTAATTAGTAATTATTTTCACACTTGTTGCAGGCTTAACTAGAAGAGCATTATTAGCAATTTTACAGTTTACAAGGTTCACATTATTTAATATTTAAAAAAAGTACCTTATGGAC